CTTCACGTAAGCAGATTCTTACTGATTGTGCAAACTCGGAGCTCCAATAAGTTGTGTTTCACTTTCCCCAACAAACACTATCCAAACCAGGGACAGACAAAAGCAAATACTATCAGTTCCATGAGAGTCATGGGCACACAACAAAAGACTACATCAACCTAAAGGATTCCATAGAAATCCTCATCTGATATGGACATCTCAAGCAATATAAAAAGAAGGAAGGACCCCGCTAGGACACCCAGGAGTCCAAGAAATTCGAGAAAGAGAAGCCTTCCCCTAATAAAACCCTCATACTTGTCACCATGAGCATCACCAGACCAGCAGATTTCTACATCCCTGACCTAGACGAGATCCTCGTGTACTTCATAACACGCGGTCCTTGGGAGACATTTCCATCAGCAATGGTTATATCCGACGGGGACTTCAATAAATGTACAGTGGGATCGGTGAAGAGAAGGTCCTCCCCCATCGCATTCTACCATGAAGAGTTGCCCACGAATGGCCAATTTCAACGTCAAGTGCATTTTGGTCGATCAAGGCAGCTCAATTAATATCATTTACACCCAGCCAGTCACCATCTTACAGCTCAACGAGACTCACCTAGACACTTATATGGGCTACGTCCTCCAGGGGTTCAACGGCCCTGCCACAAAACCTTGGGGCTATGTCAAGCTGATCGTCTCATTCGGGGCAATAAAAATGGTCAGATCCATCAAAACACAATTCCTCATGGTGGACTTCCCATCATTGTATCAGTGCATTTTCATGAGGCCTACCCTGGCTGAACTGATAGTGGTGCCCTCCACTGTGCATCTGAAGATGAAATATTACACTAAGGAATGACTCGTTACCACCCTCCACCGGGACATATAGGCCGCAAGGAGATGCTTTGAAGCAGCTGCCAAGGGTTTATGCTCCATCAGCATGCAACCCAAAATAACCAATAAACCCGCTCTTCTTAGTAGTTCCGAAGAGCCAAAGTCGCTGCCACATGCCGACACAATCGACCTCGACAACCGCTTCACAAAAGAAGATCTCTGATAGTAGAAGAAGAATGGGAAAGAGCCCTTACTGGACGCAGAAAGCTCTTCCTCGTCAACAAGAAGCAAAGAGTCTGCACATGTTATACAGCCATATCTAGACGGGGAGTTTGAAACCATTCCCCTCAATTGTGACCCCTCCAAAGGAGTAAGAATCAGTGTTGATCTCCCGGACTTGGAAAAAAGACAGCTGAAGGCGTGCCTAAGGGAAAAAGCAGACTTGTTCTCCTGGAGCTCAATAAAGATGCTCGGCTTGGATCCAGAGATAACTTGTTACCATCTGACAATGGATCCTGCCCTTAAGGCAGTTGCCCAACATAGGCGCAAGCAGTCTCTAGAGAAAACTGAGGCTGCCGAGCAAGCTGTAAAAGACCTCCTAGAAGCAAATTTCATTTGTGACGCCCAATATACGACCTGGCTCTCCAAAGTTGTACTTGTAAGTAAATCTAATGGAAAATGGCGCATGTGTGTTGGCTATACCGATCTCAATAGGGCTTGCCTTAAAGATGCTTATACCCTGCCCAATATAGATAAAATAGTTGATAATTTTACAGGTTTTAAATTGTTGTCTTTCATGGACATGTATTCTGGGTACAACCAGATCCCCATGGCAAAGACAAACAAAAATTAAATAGCCTTCATAACCGAATCGGGGAACTATTACTACAACGTAATGCCCTTCGTCCTGAAGAACGTCGGTGTTACACATCAACTGATGATGAACAAAGTCTTCCAATGAGAAATCAGAGACATGCTCGAAGTCTACATGGATGACAAGATCGTGAAATCCAAAGAAGAAATCGACCATGCGCTCCAACTAAAGAAAGTCTTCGACCAGGTGAGGAAATGCATAATGCGATTCAACCAGGAGAAATACACCTTCAGCGTACGGGCAAGCAAGCTCCTTGATTTCTACCTAACAGAATGAGGAACTGAAGCCAACCCCAATAAATGTCGGGCATTTTCAGAGTTTCCAACTCCGAACTTAAAGAAATTGATCCAAACCGTGAATGGAATGCTCACTTCCTTATCATGCCTCATGGCAAAATCTGCCCAACATGTTGTTGACAAGAAAATTTTCGACTTAAGTATTAGGCCACATGTTAGGTGATATCCTTCGTCAAATAAGAGCATCAGCAAAGAGCTATGGGTATGTCGACAAGATTTCAGGGATTACGCCTAAAACATCAGTCGACGAGATAGTAAGCGACGCCGGTGACGACCAGGAAGGTCGAGAGAAAAAGCAGATGACGGTAAAAGCCGTTATTAACAATGAGTATTGAGCGAGACGTGGGAGTTGCAAAAGTAGTGACGCACGAACCATCAATATGAGTGGCTCAAGTAACTGTCGACGATTACATTTTTAGCATCTATTTAAGATAAATAATGTATTTGTTTTAGAGGTCGCATTTTGTAACATTGTAAGAGAGCACTCAAAGTAACAACGCATAGAGAAATGGTTCAGTTATGAAAATGTATGATTGCTTCCACCTTTAAATTCAAAGCACTTTTATCTTTACAGAGTCTTATTTATTTTCTCCAGTCTTGCAATTTATCTACCATTTACTTGTCTTTGTTTTCTTATTTGCACCCTTCTCGCCTTGATCTTGTCAAGCACCCAAATACTGTCAAACTTAACATGATAGTCTAGGACTCTTGTAGCCGGTCCTGCAAGTAACCTTTAATTAAGAGGCTAGAGATTTTTCACGAGAAACTCATGCGAACAAATTAGCAAGACCAGTGGGACACGTTTATATTAAGTTCGTCTCAATTCGTGTATGAGATGGAGAAGTGGAAGAAAAATGGTAGATCCTAGAACTCATGAAAGGGATCAAACCCTGGGAGGAAATACCAGTACAGCGGCGAGTGTAGGTTCAAGTTCTATGGTTGTGTCTTCGACTGCGCCGAACATAGTCACCACGACTCAACCAGTAACTACAAGATTAACCATGGACACAACTTCTGAGAAATATGTGCTTAGTTTTGTAAGAGATGCGTACAGTGGTGTGGTCACAACTACTGTGAAATATATGTCTAGTTTTGCAAGAGATACGCACAATGTTAAACACGAGTATGTAATGCCAACAACGATGATGGCATGCCTGCATAATAGTAGTTCGACATTTGGTGAAAATTCAGCGTCGGCGTTTTTCCTGTATCATGCCTCAGGGTCGTTGGGAAATTAATTTGGTTGTTCAACTAGATTGGGATTTTCCCACCAAATCATGCCTACTTTCACCCCAAGTACCGTTGCAATCATGAGGCAGCAGATGGACGAAATTAATCATGAGATGGTTGTTGTAACTGGTTTTAAATATAGAGTCGCCACCCTTTATTTTTATCATAAGGAATGGAGTATAAAGGATAACCCTAAAAGGTTAAAGATTATAGGTTTTTGACTCGGTTTTAGACGAAGAGAATGTGTTAGGCACCCCTCGTCTACCTTGTTCACAAGGATACTAGGGTTAAAAACGAAATTTTTAGGAAATAGGGTTTTAATTTATTAATAGGGTAACTCACCACGATTTTAGTCTTATGCCTACTTATCCTCTTATGAGGAATCAGAGTCCCAATTCGTAGTTCGCGATTGGTTTATGTAATTTATGGATTGTGTAGAATTGCTTTCGAGCTATCCTTGAACCTTGCCTGCGTTTGAAAAATGAGTGATCGTAGACGCAATTCGTAGTTAATTTCGATAGTAATTCTCCTTAATCCTTTTTCAAAAATATCTTGGGTTTTTGATTATGTTAGTAGAAAAAGTTTGTAATTGATTAGCTATTTTAATGTTCTATTTGATTAAAAAGAGTGATAAGACATAGAGTGTGGGAGTCTGATATAGTCTTCTAATCACGTGACCAGATATTGGCCACGTGTCGCTCGCGAATGGTAAATTTGGTGAGTTGCGTGGATTTTAATATTTTGATATAAAATATTTAATTAATTATTTTAAGAAGTAAAAAAAAACTAAAGATATGTTTTTAATGTTTTATATTTTTTATAGTTTTATATTTTTCTGCATTAATTAATTGATCAACCAAAAATTAACTAAATTAATCAAAATAAAGAAATATTAAATAATCAAAAACCTAAGGGAGGTGATATCATAATAGATATGTGTAACATGAAAAGGGAAGGCCCAAGGCCCGCCTTAATTTCTAAAGCCCTAGTTCACTCAATTTAAATTAATAATTAAAACTAAAGTAATAATAAAAATAAAATGTGAAATAGAAAAGGATCGGATCAGAGGATCTTGTATCCTGAGAGGGCAAAAGAAGCGCCATACATTCCTTATTTTCTTTTGGCAGATTTTGGCGTAACATTCTTTCTCCTTCATCTCACTATTTTTCTCTGCCTTCTCTCTTCTCCATCCCACCTCATGATCTCTCATCTTACATGCTCTTCTTGTCTTCCAAACACGATCCCAATAATTTAACACCTGTAAAAGAAAGGGAAAGCACATAAGGTAAGCAAAAGACAAACGTCGGTGGTCGCCGTAGTTGCGAGATCGCGATCGGAGCTGGTGTTCATCGGTGTCGGGTTTGAGGTCATCTGGCGGCGGAGATGGGCTTCATGTGGTGCAAGGGTCGTTGCATGATCTGGAATCAGAGTCGTGCAGTGGTGGCCGTTTTGTAGTGATGGTTGCGATTTAGAGAGAGAGCGTCGGTGCTGGGTCCCGGATCTGTTAAGCTTCACGTGGAGCTGTTCGATATTGTTATGGTTGCGCTAGCGTTGGCGCGATCGGAGAGTCCGGTTGGAGGAGAGGGCTGCTGTAGGTTAAAGGTTGGCCGTGAGCGGAGCAGAGAGGAAGAGCAACATCGTCGTGTTCGCGATGGTCGGAATTTTTATTTCTATTGTTCTTTCTTGTTTGCCTTATTCCTGTAAAAACAAGCACGCATAAAAATAACAGGTAATGATGATGTTGTTGTCGTTCCTGCGTCGAATTTGTGCTTCTTCTTCCTTTTATCTGCAAAATAGAAAGTTGTGTTGATGTTGTAACAAGTTTTTTCTTTTGGAATTTTGTTTGTAATATGGTGAAGGTTTTGTGATAAATCTGAAGAAAGCTGATGGTTGATGGTGAGTTACTGTAAAAATTTCGTAAAAATGTGAAATAAAGATTGGGTCTTTTGGTATCATGAATGAGAATTGGCTTAGTAAGTGTGTGAAGAATGATATGTTTTCTTTTTGAAGGTTGGAGGTTTTTGAAGAATACAAAGTGAAGACACAAGAAAATATGTATGAAGTTGTGCGTGGTGGAAAAAATATGTATAATTTGTGTGAATTGTCCTGTGAGAAAAAAGTTGTGAAGCTGCACATGTAAAAGTGAATAAAAATTTGGTCCCTAGGATTATTCACTGTGTGTACCGTATAACAAAAATATATCGTATAAAAGTGAATAGAATTCTTGGCCCCTAAAATAATTAATAAACATGTAATTCTAACCAATAATAAATTAACATCAAATGATTATTATATAAAATAAAATAGAAAAAGATAGAATTGAAAATAAAATTGGAGTCTCGTATAAATTTTTTGGCCAAGAATAAAACCGTAAATAACATCAATATTATTGGAAAAAAAAAAGAATCGTTCGTAGGTTGTTGTTTAATATAGTCAACAATCTTAGAATAAATCAACAGAAAGAGTTTTGGATGAATTGTAAAATTTTTGATGAAAAACTAGGACAAACCAAGGTCTATTTATAGACTTGAATTAGGTTAAACAAAGACTTAGAGACTAAGTTATCCAAAAGTTCAAAGTTTGATCTCTAAAAAAAGAAATAAAATTAATAAAAAATAAGAAAAAATATTTAAAAGTGCAACATACAAGATTAGAACAGGCAACCTTATACTTGCAAGCTTTATTCTTTACCAATTATGCTATGTTACTTATTTGTAAATAAACTCAATTGAAAGTATATGAAAGATGTCTCAATATTTGTTATTTTAAAAATATAAATAATTTGAAATAAATTATTATATTTTTAACTGGATTTGAGAATGAATATTTATATAACCCCAAAATAACAATGTAAATTAAAAGAATTTTATAAAAAAATTCAAGTTTGAAATTAATTTCGACCGTAGTGATAAAGGGTGGGAAATTTTGGGGTATGAAAATGGTCAATATGCTTACTCAACAGATGAGTGTCATATTAAGACCGTTAATCGAGAATTCGATACAGAGTTATCAAACTTTGGCAACTCAAATGACTCGCGTCGGTGACTTTCTTGGTGCCCCAAAAGCACCAGTTCGACAAGTTGCACCTCCCCCACGTGAGGAACCAGTGCGGTATGAGGAGGTGGTCGATGAGACAGTCGATCAAGAACCATTGATTCCTTAGCGTGTCAATCCTATACCTAGGGCGTTCCAACAACCCCCAATAGTGATAGAGGATCGAAATCAGAATATCAGCCAGATTGTCAGACATGGTCAACGAGAGGCAGTGGCTGGGGAGAAAAACCTAGAGGCTATTATCGAGTGAATTATGATTTGAAATGGGATGAATGATGGTTCTAGAGACCAGCATATTCTTCTCCCTTACCAGATTTTGTTCTAGAAACAGAATTGCCTAGGGGTTTGAAATTCCTCAAATTTACTAAGTTTGCAGGGGATAAAGAAGAATCCACTATTGAACATGTCGCCAGATATCAAAATGAAGTTGGTGATATATCCAACAATGAGGATCTGAAATTAAAATATTTCCCAAGCCCTTATCAAAAAATGCGTTTACTTGGTTCACAACGCTACCCCCCTCGTCGATTCACACATGGAATCAGTTAGAGAAATTGTTCCATGAATAGTTTTACATGGGACAATAAAAAATTAGCCTGACGAAACTTGCTGGGGTTAAAATAAAGGAGGATGAGTCAATCGACCAGTACCTAAATAGGTTTATACTTTTTAAAGTCAAATGCTTTACTCAGGTCCCTGAACACGAATTAGTCGAGATGGCTGCGAATGGCCTAGATTATTCGATTAGGAAAAAGTTGAATGTTCAATACTTGAGAGATATGGCGCAGTTAGCTGTTAGGGTTCGACATATCTAATATTGTAAAGATGAGAAAGCCAAAGCCGGAAAATATCAAGAGAAAGCCAAAGCTAGCGAGTATCAAAAGAAAAGCAAGGTTGCATATATAACCACCGAAGATTATTCTTCAGACGATAGCGAGTCAATGGAAGAGACTGAGGTTAATGTGGCTGAACTCCGGCCTGGACCTCCGTGTGCTTGCAAACCATTAAGGCCATCGAACGGGAAGAATCTCGTTGAGACCGAGAAAAATGGCAAGGCCATTACAAAACTTATACTTCTGATATAACTAAGTGTGATGAAATATTTGATTTGTTAGTATCTGACGACCAAATCATTGTGCCTCAGGGTCTAAAGAATCCCCTTTTAGAACAAAAGAAGAAAATTGGATTTTGCAAATTTCATAATTTTCTTGGTCATGAAACATCTCAATATGTTCTTTTCAGGGATTTAGTGCAAAAAGCTTTGAAGGAAGGCAGGCTTCAATTTGGAGAAAAGCCAAAAATGCAGGTGGACACTGATCCGCTAAAAGTCGAGGAGGCTCTATTTGCAAAACCTTATAACTGCATGATGGTTGAAGTTACTGAGGGTTTTGACAATGATGCCATGATGGTCGAGGCTACTGACAGCCTTGACGAGACAAAGAAAAATGACTTGCCAGTGGTTTATCCTCGGCCTGAAGAAAGTTTGGTTGATTTTCAGGAAAAATGCAAACTGAATGGGTCATAAGCCAGATTATGCTCAAGGTGTAATGTTGTTTATGATGAGAAAGCGGTTGAGAAATACGAAGCTGCAACAAAAGAGGCTTTCGAGAAGAAGGAGCCTCCAATACCAAGGTTTGTATTTGACAAAGAAGGGGTTCCTCGATGCAATGAAGAATATCAGAGGAAATTTAAGCATCCTCGACAAAAGACTTTTCGTCCTCTGTCGGACATTCCACAGGAAAAATGGGTGGAGCCAGTGAATCAGGAAGGAGGGAACAAATCAAAGTGAAGAGTAGTTGTTCAGGATGCTGAGGCTCAAGAGAAGAAGCCAGAAACTAAGGGATATCAGGTTTCCCCAAATTATAAAGGGAAGAACCCAATGACCAGAACACAATGGAGGTGATACCAGAGGAACAAGAAGGCTGTAAAGAAGGCCTCGACATCAAAAGTAAGGTCTGCCAAAACTTTGAAAGATGGGGAGATGATAAAGCCTGTTGAAAATCTGAACCAAGTGGGAGCCAACGAAGTTGTTGGGGGTGTTAACTCAAAGAAACAAATATCCAAGACAGAGGCTGAGCAAAAATGAAAAAATCATCGCAAATCAGAGATTGGTGATGAGAATAACACCTCTAGGGAGTAAGGAGGTAGTGGAGACACATAGTGCGGAGTACACTCCCATGGTTGATGATGGAAACAAAGAAGAAAAGGAGTATGAACCTCTCCCAGAGGACAAAGGGGGCGATTATTACCCCTATGAAGATAGTATGGTTGATGATGATTATGGCGAAGACTTTATCATTAATTGTGTCATTGTGTTTGTTTTGCCTGCTGAATTCGAATGGTATCTGAAGTGTTGGAAAATGAGGATGATTATCTGAAAACGACACTGAAAAAACCATTATGCTATTATGTTATGAATAATGGTGTGGTGGAGGAACATAATGCAGTGTTTGAGAAACCAAGTCCAGACATATTATGTCACCTCAAACCCTTGTTTATAAGGGAGAAAATAAATGAAATGTCACTCAACAAAGTGTTCGTCAATAGGAGGGGCAGTTGTGAATATGATGCCTTACGCTTTGTTCAAGAAGATGGGAAAGTGCGGAACTGATCTTCGACCACATAACATGGTTTTATATAACTATGAAGGAAAAACCAGCAACATCCTGGGAGTGTTTCAGGTCGAATTGGCAGTCGATATAACTACCAGGTCGACTCTCTTTATGGTCATTAATTCCAAAGCAAATTTTAATTTGTTATTGGGTCGCGAATGGACCCACGAGATAGAGGCAGTGCCATCAACCCCACATCAAAGGATATCTATTTGGAGGAAAGATGGCATCATTGAAAACATTGAAGCTGGTCAGAGTTACTACAAAATCGATGAGAGTAGAGTTGGAAAGAAATCATTCGACCTACATCTGGCGCATGTGGTACCTTGTGATACTGAAATTGACATTTCTTAAGAGAATGCAAATTGTTTTCTAAGTTTGGATCCAGATCTTGGATTCATGTGGGACATTGAAGAAGAAATAATGCCCAGGGAACAAAATCCACCTACGGGGTGGAATATGGTCGAAGGAGATGACCAGTGAGTCAGAAGCCCTGGCTTGGATTTTGTCCTATGTGGGTGAAAACAAAATAGAATCAGATTTGGAAGCCAAAAGATTGCAAAGTTTGGCTTTGGGAGCCAATTCAACGAGACGAGAAGGCCAAGATGGCCAAACATTAACTTTAGAAAGTCAGAGGCTAGATTGTGTCGATGACGATGAGCCCTTAGGGTTCGAGAAAGACCCAGTAAATTCAATGCAGAAAATGCATGCCCAATATCCTTTAGAAGAAGTGGACCTGGGCGATGGCGTAACGAAGAGACTCAGTTATATCAATATAAAAGTTGGGTCGAAGATGAAGGTTCGATTGGTTAACTTATTAAAGGAGTATAAATATTAATTTGCATGGGATTATGGTGAAATGCCATGCTTGATTCGGAAAGTAGTAGAGCATCATCTGCCTATCCAGTAAGGGAAGAAATCGGTAAAGCAACATCCTCCCTAGAGATCACATTAAAGATCAAACATGATATCGAGAGATTTCTAAAGAGCAAGTTCATCAGAAATGCTAGGTACGTCGAATGGCTGGAAAATATTGTTCCCATTATTAAGAAAAATGGAACTCTTTGAGTTTGCATAGATTTTAGGGATTTGAATAAAGCAACTCCAAAAGATGAGTATTCGATGCCTGTGGCAGAAATGCTAGTAGATTCGACTGTAGGCTTTGAATATTTTAGCATGTTGGATGGTTATTCAGGATATAATCACATTTTTATAGCCGACAAGGACGTATCTAAAATGGTGTTTTGATGTCCAGGAGCCCTAGGAACTTATGAATGGGTTGTAATGCCGTTTGGTTTAAAAAATGGAAGAGCAACTTATCAAGGGGCTATGAATGCCATATTTCATGATTTCATAGAGCACTTTAAGCAGATTTACATAGATGAAATTGTGATTAAATCTTCATCTGAAAATGGTCATATAGACCATATTTGATGATCATTCGAAAGAATGAGAAAATATGGATTGAAAATGAATCCACTAAAGTGTGCTTTCGGTGTGCATGTAGAAGACTTCTTAGGTTTCTTGGTACACAAAAAAGGCATCGAGATCAACCAAAACAAAACAAAAGCAATTTTGGATATCAAGCCTCGACCAACAAAGAAACAATTA